ACCCTTAAGGGTCGGCAGTACACCCAGGCAAACTCCGAATGATATTGGAGACCTCGTGCGGTGACAACGCGAAACTCCGGTTTCAGTGTTGCCAACGCCGAGAAACCAATTCTCGGGTTTTATGTAGTGGTGTATGTCTGTACACGTACATACACCAACTGCATCGCTCACGCGGACGCACGTAAGAGAGACAAGGACCGATAATCACGTGTTCTCCTTGTTCATCTACCGTGCCGGTATACGCGAGATGCCGCCTGAAAATGCTTTCTGGCCTTCCGTAGCAGAAAGCAGTAACGTAGCAAGACTAATAAGCACCCACTTTTTGGAAATTGTATATATGGTTATGCACATATGTGCATAACGTATATATATAATATATATATATATATATATATATATATATATATATATTATATAAGGATATGTTGATTATATTCTTGATTTCTTTTTGATTATTGATGCTATTGTATAATTTGCTCCAAATACTTATAACGTGAAAGAACGTTGAGTAATGTATAATCAATGCAAGGATGTTCAGTATATCATCCAGTATATAAATTAGAGTTCAAATATATCAATATCAATTTTTTTATATATATATATATATATTAGAATATAGAAAAATGATAAAAAAATATATTTCGGCGATTTAAAAATTTTTTAATATATTGAAAATATTTTTACTACATACACTATATATAAGTGTAAAATAATTCAGAAAATAAATTTAATAAAAATCTACATACCAGCTGTGTGCATGTGTGCAATTGATTTATTACTTGAAATTTATTTACGGAATTATTTTGCATTTATATATTTATAGTATGTGTAGTTGTAAAATGATTAAAATATTTTCAATATCAAATTTTTAAGTTTATCGCCTATATAAAAAATATATTTCTATGATTTTCTATATTCCAATATATTATAAAAAAATTGATATTGATATATTTGAACTCAAGTTTTTTACGTGATTAAATATTCTTGCATTGAGCCATCATACGTTACTCGTAAGTTCTTTCACGTCATAAGTACTTATGTAGCAGAGAGAAAGAAATGAGAGTTATACAATGTAACATCAATAATCTTATATATTATAATCTTATATATTATATATATATAATATTTCATTTATTTATAAAAAACATTTTATAAATAAGTAAAATATTATACAGACAATGTACAAGATGTTCAGTTTGTGCCATAACAAGCTTCAATCAATAATTATTACTCCAATGAGTATAATTCACAATAATTTTTATATAATATAATAAGTATTTGAATATATAAAAATATTTTTAAAAATTGTTTTAAAAATAATTGAAAAAGAATATTTAAAATATTTTTTTATATTTAAAATATTCTTTTCCTCAATTAATCTTAAAAAAAATATTTTAAATATTTAAAAATATTTAAAAAATACTATATATATATAAAAAATAATTGTTGATTATTATATTGGATTATTAATTGAATGAAGCTAGAGCTTTTAATATGGCTTTTAATACTGCTTGACAAGGAGAGAGCATCATTCCATCTTTGTCTCTCTTACATCGCATATGTAGTAGCGTCCATGTAGGTACAAACACTAAAAAAATTAAATTTAATTTTTTTATTGTTTTGAATAATTTTATCATTAATATACTTATTTTCAGAACTATTTCAATTTTATTTCATACTTATGTTTATATAAATTATAAATTAAAAACATATCAAAAATGTAATACATATTAATAAAATGCAAATACATATAGAAAATTAATTATAAAATGTCATCTTAAAATAGTTTTTATTTTTGTTCTTTATTTACATATGCATACATATACAAAAAAATAAAAATAATATGATAGCCTTTTTGCTGACATTATCTCTCAATATTTGCATCCGTGTGCTCACGTATTAGTGTTTGTACCTACATGGACGCTACTACATATGCGATGTAAGAGAGACAAAGATGGAATGATGCTCTCTCCTTGTCAAGCAGTCAGCATGTTACCACAGAAATTTCCCCTGCTCCTTATGAATCTAGTGAGAATCTTATCGTCCAGATATTTCATAAAATAAGTGACATAACTTCGTGAATTTTTTTTAATATATTCTTTATATAATAAAGCAGTCCTCTAAAAGGCCGGATTTTACATTTTCGCTCTTAAAAATTTATAATAAATAAAATACGGACTCGCGGCTAACCCAACCTTACCCGTTCCTAGCTGTGCATTCCCCCAAGTTTATTAAAAATTTTTATTTTTATCTTTTTTTCATAAAATAGCTCTTTAGAGGACTACAAATGAGCTTACTGATTAAGAATATCCTAAATTTAATAAGATTCATTCAATATTTTCGCTAATATCTGGAAAATAAGAATCCGTAATTCCCGGCCGGCCGATAGGCGTCTCCACCATGTCGCCTGTCGACCCTTAATAGAATAACAAATGCTTTTCCACGATTAAAGTTAAGGGTCGACAGGCGATATGGTAGAGACGCCTATCGGCCGGCCGGGAATTAGAGATTCTTATATTCCAGATATTAGCGAAACTACTGAATGAATCTTATTAAGGGTCGGCAGTACACCCAGGCAAACTCCGAATTGATATTGGAGACCTCGTGCGGTGACAACGCGAAACTCCGGTTTCAGTGTTGCCAACGCCGAGAAACCAATTCTCGGGTTTTATGTAGTGGTGTATGTCTGTACACGTACATACACCACTGCATCGCTCACGCGGACGCACGTAAGAGAGACAAGGACCGATAATCACGTGTTCTCCTTGTTCCTCTACCGTGCCGGTATACGCGAGATGCCGCCTAAAAATGCTTTCTGGCCTTCCGTAGCAGAAAGCAGTAACGTAGCAAGACTAATAAGCACCCATTTTTGTAAATTTTATATATGCTTATGCACATATGTGGATATATTATTTATATATAAATATATATATATATAAAATATACTAATTTACTCTCAATTATATATGCTACTGTTATTATTTATCATTAGACAATTATAAAACAGAGGTTATAGATTTGGTCTGACTACACTGGCCTCAAATTAAAGTTGTATATATATTTATTTTAACGTTTCGACCATACGGGATGTGGTCCTTTTCAAAAATACAGATTGGAATATCAGAGAGTTACAGCATTTCGTCTTTAAGATGTAAGCGCAAATTATGATTCGGAGAGATTTAACTTGTCAAATAATAAAATATAAAATAAATTATAAAACATATACATATATAATTTGTAGTGCTATATATATATGTTTTATAATTGTCTAATGATAAATAATAACAGTAGCATAATTGAAAGTAAATTAGTCTACAATGTTAGACACGGGTACTTGTTAGATTTGATAATTTATTGCTTATACTTTTTCGAGAGACAAGAATAAGAGAACGAATATATAAATTATTATTAGCTTGTATAGCAATCATAGATTGACGAATATGCGTTGGTTATTCTTGATTTCTTTTCTATTATTGATATTATTGTATAATTTGCTCTATAAATACTTATAACATAAAAGAACTTATGTCGAGTAATAAGGATGTTCAGTATGTATCACCCAGTAAATTATTAGAGTTCAAATATATCAATATCAATTTTTTAATAATATATTGGAATACAGAGAAATGATAAAAAAATATATTTCGGCAATAAAAATTTTATAAATATATTGAAAATATTTTTACTACACGCGCGCGTGCACACACACACACACACACACACACACACACACACACATACACACTATATAAATGCAAAATAATACAGAAAATAAATTTTTAATAAAAATCAACATACCAGCTATTTGTGTGTGCATATGTAGCTGCAAGCATGCAACGGATTTATTACTTGATAAATTTATTTACGGACTTATTTTGCATTTATATATATATATATATATATATATATATATATATATATATATATATAGTGTATGTAATTGTAAAAATGATTAAAATATTTTCAATATTTAAAAATTTTCAAGTTTATCGCCTTATATTTCTATAATTTTTCTATATTCTAATGTAAAAAAATTGATATTGATATATTTGAACTCAAGTTTTTTACGTGATTGAATATTATTGCATTGAGCCATCATACGTTACTCGTAAGTTCTTTTACGTTATAATAGTGTTTATGTAGCAGAGAGAAAGAGATAAGAGAGAGATTATACAATATAACTTCAATAATCGAAAAAAATCACGATAACGCTATTGTCATATCTATGTGTGTGCATATATATAAACTTATATATTATATATTTTATAAATAAGTAAAATATTATGCAGACAATGTATACAATATAAAATGTTCAGTTTGTGCTATGCTTCAATCAATAACACTGGTCGACAAAAAATGACTTTTTTCAGGTTCGAAGATTTCCAAAGCGTATTTTTGTAGATTTTTTTCATGCCGATTACAAATTCGGCCGCAAAAATTGCGTATCACGTCACGTTTTTTAGATATCTTGATCTAAAGATGCAAAAATTCGTTCAACGCATTAGTGTTTGTGTCTACATGGATGTTACTACATATGCGATGTAAGAGAGACAAGGACAGAATGATAGTCTCTCTTTGTTAAGCTGTTAGCTGTCAGTATGTTACCACGGAAATTTCTCCTGCTCCTTATGAATCTAGTGAGAATCTTATCGTCCAGATATTTCATAAAATAAGTGACATAACTTTGGTTTTTTTTTTTTTAATATATTCTTGATATAATAAAGTAGTCCGCCAAAGAGTCGGATTTTGCATTTTTGCTCTGAAAAATTTATAATAAATAAAATACGGACTCCTGGCTAACCCAACCTTACCCGTTACTAGCTGCGCATTCCTTCAAGTTATATTATAAATTTTATTTTCATCTTTTTTTCAATAAATAACTCTTTGGCGGACTGCATTTGAGCTTACTGATTAAGAATATCATAAATTTAATAAGATTCATTCAGTAGTTTTGCTAATATCTGGAATATAAGAATCTCTAATTCCCGGCCGGCCGATAGGCGTCTCCACCATGTCGCCTGCCGACCCTTAATCCTTCATGCCTGAATTTTTATATCAGAGTCTTTTCTATATCAGAGTGTTTACACATTGTGTATGTACATAACGTCAAAGTTGCCGACGCTTTAAATCGTCTCCTCATTTTTCCATGAAATACACTGATAATTTATTTACTCACGAAGATTTATTATCTGTATTTTAATCTCTAAAAATGGATTCGTATATAATACAGGTAATGTGAAAAGTTGCTAAACGTAATGCAATTTTAAAATTGACTATTTTATCTTATTTTTTATTTTGTAGATTCGACGAACCTGGCTCAACCAAGATGGGGAAGCATTGGCAGTAAGTTATACATATAAATATAATTTAATCCAAAATTACATGGATCATAATAAATGTTATTATTTCTTGAGGATCTCTTATCTCTGCGACACAGTCATGTCTCTATATTTCAAGTTGTATCAGAAACTGCCATAATCAAGGCTATGGAACATTTATCTGTGCCATTAGATGATTTGGTACTTTGTCACTTAAAGTAAGACTATTTTTTAAATTTATTTCTATCATTAAAGTTTTTGTTTAAAACACTTTTATTTAATCAACACCTATTAATAGCTTGTTTAGTTTGGTCCAGAACAATTAATTAATTTGTCAAGATAATTCTTTTTAAACAATAAGTAAATAAAGGTTTTGTAAATTTCAAAATGTAAAAAAGAAGAAAGGCAGAGGAACCAGTGCAGAAATTAAAGTGCAAATAATTATTAAAATATATTTAGAAACCAAACAGATATTAAAAACAAGCAGACATTTCTGTCCTTTCTTTGGACTCTCTTCAGTGCAAACAAATAAATAAAGTTAATCTGACAGTTTTTTGTAAAAACGGTATCGGTACATATTAAATTATTAATAGGAAATTTATAAAAATATACATGTATGTTTTTAAAATTTCTACACGTTTCTCTGCCTTTCTTCTTTTTTATATTTTCTTTAATATATGTATTTATATATTCATGTTACAATCTGTCTTTTGCATATATTGTATATTTCTTCTACTTTTTAGAGCTGTATCTACCATGAATAAGAATGATATCCTTACTATGTATAATTATCAAAGTTCAGCAGTGCAATGTCTTGCAAAGATTCTTCAAATGCAAAAGGAAGAAAATTGGATGCTGCCAGTAATGAATGTAATGTGTCTAGAATTGAGATTATCTGCGATAGGTGTGGAAAACTCTAAATCTAACAAAAATATGAAACAAGGAGAAATTCTAGAGAAATGCGCAGAGTGTTTGATGGCTTGTTTTCGCGTTTGCGCAGCTGATAATATAATTTCAGAGGAGGAAACAAAGAGATGGGGAATGCTAGCCTTAATTAATCAATTGCTGAAAATATTTTAGAATTTAACAAGCTGCATTTGTGCAAACCTTTGATACGAGCCATAGAATCATCCCCTTATAAGGATCATTTTGCACTGGCGCAACAGATTACATACAAATTTTTTGTTGGCCGGAAAGCCATGTTTGATAGTGATTATAAAATTGGTAAGCATATTTTTCTATACCTTTTATACTGTAATTATTTCATTGAAATGTGTATTAACAGATGTAAAAATGTTTCAGCCGACGAATATTTGACGTACGCATTTGAACACTGTCATATACAATGTTCAAAAAACAAGAGATTGATCTTAACTTATCTCGTACCTGTGAAAATGTTATTAGGATATATGCCAAAACAAAGCCTATTAGAAAAGTATAATTTAATGGAATTCTATGAACTCATGGAATCTGTAAGAAAGGGAGATTTACGTTCTTTAGAAGGAGTAATGGTGAAACATGAAGTTTTCTTTATAGATGCCGGTATATATTTAATCGTGGAAAAACTGAAATTGATTGCTTATAGAAATTTATTCAAGAAAGTGTATTTAGCATTGAACACGCATCAAATACCAGTTCAAAGTTTGCTCATAGCATTACAAATCAATGGAATGGAGGATATAAATATGGATGAGACAGAATGTCTTCTTGCAAATTTGATATACGAAGGCAAAATTAAAGGCTACATATCTTATCAACATAAGAAATTAGTTATATCTAAACAAAATCCTTTTCCTCCTTTATCTACAATTATATCATAAATGACTGAAATTGTAATCTATCCTTACTATTTCTGTAATAAATATATTTTATTTTTTACAATTTTATTATTGTAAATGTCCAATATATTACTATTGTAATCCGTTTAGATTGTACATTACTAATGATTAATAATTCATCTAAATTGGAAGTAATAAATATAAGTGTCCTGTAAAAATCCTGTAATAATTTTTTAATATTAGCTTATTAGTCCTTTATACTCTATTTGTATATTAGAGTTTTTTCGATTTTATTATTATCAGAGAGAAGCCTTCTCTCTGTTATAAAATAATTTTTATTCCTAAGTATGCATAATCTAAGACAGTCGATTCAGTCGATACTCATGAAAAATCACCTTTAAAATGTTACATATCAGACTAGGTCAGGTCAGATTAGGTTAGATTAATTTGTGGCGCATAGAACAGAATTGATGATTATTCTTATAAAATTATATAAAATTATTGAATTGTTTCAAGTGTAATATAGAAGAATGTTGTTATTCAGGCATAAATTTAAGACAAATCTTGCTCAAGATTTATCAAAAACGTTAAAACTTTTCGCTACGTATTCTCAGAATACAAATGTTTCGGAAACGAATAGTGATGAACAGGGTTAGTTTACAAATAACAATTACATTTTAAATCTATCCTTTTCAGCTGAACTGGCCTAGTTCAGATTTTATCTTTAAATCTATTCTTTTTAGCTGAACTGACTGTTCTAGTTCAGAGTTCATCTCTAGGAGTGCTTTTCAGCAAGCAACACAGGCGACACAAAGTCACACTGTGTGCGACACAAGTGCTTTTCTACTATTACACAATATAACACAATCTTACTCAGCTCTTTAGCTAAGTCGCTTTGTGCTCAATTGTGTTACATAGTGTCTATCTGTGTCTTTCTTGTTGAGAAGCACCCATTGAAAGAAGATAGAATGATACACTGTGTCATATTGTGTCGTTGCTGAAAAGCACCCACAGTGTCTATCTGTGTCTTCCTTGCTGAAAAGCACCCTGTTCTAGTTCAGTATTCATTTCTAAGTCTGTCCTTTTCAACTGAACTGGCTGTTCTAGTTCAGCGTTTATCTCTAGGTCTGTCCTTTTCAGTTGAACTCACTGTCCTAGTTCAGATTTTATTTCTTTTCTTCTAATATAGAATAAAAAAAGGTAAATTCTGAACTAATACAATCAATTCAGCCAAAAACAAAAAACAGACCTCTAGTTCAGCTGAGAAGAACAAACCCAATTACATACCCTAATCACTGTATTAGAGGCAAAAGAAAAATACACATCTTTTCTTTTCAGAATTTCGAGTACTGGAACTTTACCCGCAGAAGAAGGTGAAGCAGGTAAAGCGACAGGCGCGAAAGATCAACGTCCCACCACCCAGAACCACGGAGATGCCTATCGATCAGGACTGGCCGTCGGTCTGGCCAGGTGCCCGGACCTTCCATCCCGCCTCGGTGCCGCTTCCTCTGCGTCAGGGTTACGTAGAGAAAGGCGCGCCACCCAGCAAACACGCCAACGCTGAACTCATGAAGATACCAAACTTCTTGCATCTGACGCCGCCGGCGATCCGGAGGCATTGCGAGGCGTTGAAGCAATTTTGCACGGAATGGCCCGCGGCTCTGGAAACCGATGCCGAGTGCGAGAAACATTTTCCCATCGAGATCATCACGTCCGATTATTGTTACTCCTCGCCGATTATTAGGGACCCGCTCGCCAGGATTGTGAGTCTGCAACTCAAGCTGTCCTCGCTTACTTTAGACATTCATGCTAAAGATAAGTTATTGAGATTACTGGGAAACAAGTACAATCCAGAAACGGATGTAATAACAATTACGGCTGATAGGTGTCCAACTAAAAAACAGAATTTGGAATATGCCTGGTATCTTCTCACTGCAGTGTATCACGAGTCTTGGGTAAGTAGTTAAATAAATAAATAATATACAAATATATAAATAATATATAAATAATATAATAATCCTAACAGCACACATATACGAAGATGTTCAGAGAATATCCTAAGGATGTTTGAATGTCCTCTGAATATTCTCTGAATATCTTTCGAATATGTTGTGCTATTAGGGAATTATATTGAAAATTAAAAAATTATATTAATATAAAAAATTATATTAATAGTAATAATCAAAGGCTAGGCTAAACGAGCAAAAAAAATTTTTCATATGTAAGATTAATATTATTTATTACATTGACATTTAGGTAAACGTTTCAACCATATTCGGTCCTTTTCAATTTACATGTTAATATAATTAAATAAACATTAAATTAAAACATAAAAACCTTAGGTATAAGTCTAATAATATAAAAGTCAATTTTAAATATCACACATATTCCGCCGATTAGAAATTGCTTACACATTATTCCGTTGCGCTTAAAATTAATAACGAAATTTGAAACAATAAATCTCTTAATCCTAATTATAGTAAGAGACTTATATCGGAAATGTTACATATAAAAGAACATAAAATTGTATTAATCTGAATAAGGACACAGAATTATTGGAAAGCAGCTATTTTGATATTCTCGAAGAATTATCATAAACATTTTTAAAGGAATTAACCTTGAATTTTAGACAATAGAGTTATGTGCCATATAGCCAAGATAGGATAGGCTGAAGGCACTAAGTTCTCCAACCGGGGAACGACACAACCAAAAAAAAAAAAAGACAATAGAGTTGACTATATAAACAGACAAATTTATAACAAAGACACACATTGAACTATTGTTTTGCTGAAACCTAACAAGCGACACTGAAATTGAATATAGTATTTCTATTATTCGGGAATAAATAAATAAAAAGTAAAAATCTTTCCTTTTTCAATATAAGGGGTGATCAAATTAAAAGAAAAAAGATTGGAAAATGGACTCATCTTGCAAAGATGCCAGACTAGTATGTTCGCGCTGACCAGCGACAAATTTTGTATTTTGGACATTTTGCCAAAAGAGAGTTCCATTAAAGATAAGCTTTGTAATCTAAGAGATTTATTGTTTCAAATTTCATTATTAACTTAAGCGCAACGGAATAATGTGTAAGCAATTTTTCTAATCGGCGGAATATGTTTGATATTTAAAATTGACTTTTATATTATTAGACTTATATACCTAAGATTTTTATGTTTTAATTTAATGTTTATTTAATTATATTAACATGTAAATTGAAAAGGACCGAATATGGTTGAAACGTTTACCTAAATGTCAATGTAATAAATAATATTAATCTTACATATGAAAAAATTTTTTGCTTGTTTAGCGTGGCCTTTGATTATTACTATTAATTTTAAATTTTATACGAGCGGAATAGATTTCTTTCTTTATATATTAATATAGTTATATTAAAAATATAGTTATATTAATATAATTATATTTAATATAATTATATTAATTTTATAATTCCCGATTAATAACGAAGAAAATTTTACTTTTGCAGAGAGTGGAACCCTGGGAAGCTGAGAAATCCATAGCGGACATGGAATACTTCGATTGGGATATCAGCCAGAGTCGTACAAGTCTAGTGACTTTATACAGATGGCCGATTTCACCAGCCGATTACGATTACAAGAGTATCCCACACGCGACAGAATATAAAATAGCCGTTTTAGAGCTCATAAACAACGGTGAAGATCAGAATTCGATCGATAAATATAAAGAAGCGGTTAAAAATTTGTTAAATCTTAAAAGCGACAATAAAAGTTGAAATTTGAAATGTGAAAAAATGAATTTTAAATTAATCGGGGGTCATCAAGGTCATTCAATGACTTATATCTTCATATAATCATATTATATTATACTAAAGTATATTTTAAATTTAAAAATTTTTTTAAAACTAATCTTAATCTGTTAATGTGATTTTCTCAGAAAGTATTGAACCGATCGATTTTAATTTTAAGATTCCTGGATCCTCGCGGCCATGTTAGATTGTAACGTCAGAGGCGAGAAAGCGCGCGCTGAAAATTTCTAATAATTTTTAACAAAAGAATTTTTAGTGTCCCAAGTCCGTAGGATGAATAAGATTTTGTATAAAAATAGCAAAAATTTAAATTGCAACTTTTAAATGCGTGAATCAAATTTCGACTGTAATTTTGGTATAAAAAGTAGAAACAAAATCTATATAATGATTATACCATTTTTTCTGGCTCTTACAGTTTTTCCTTAATTTTATTTATATCAAATTAATTCGTTTTTATTAGCTGTATCATCATTTTTCTTTGATTTTTCCGGTGTCCTACCTCAAAGATCAATTTACCATGCACAATTTTATGCTCTCATTACATGACATATTAGTGTAATGAAATTGGAATTGCGTTTGTGTATTCAAATTTACCATAATTTGAGCAACAATTGGAGCATATACGGAGACTTATTTTCCCCCGGATATTTACATATATATACCAGGTGGAACGTCAAATTATCTTGTTTGTTGAAATGCGAGAGCACATTTGCACATATAAGAACGGTATATATTTTTCTCACTCTTTATTATAAATATTGTTAAACAAATATTTTAACATGTATCGACGCTTTTATCTCGTGATTTAAAATTTTAAATAATATACATCAGGCTGTTGAATTTAAAAAATGCTGAGGATCTCGTTACTACTCAGCGCATTTGAAGTCATCCTATGTGAGATTCATACAAGATCGGAAACATCATCGTCTTGTAAGAATCCACCCTTCTGTTACTTGTCGAATGCATACAAGACAGATACAAACAGCATGTTTCCTCATCCGAATTATGCCAGGCAACAATCGAGCCTTCAACGTAGTTATTATAATGGATTCAACTCTCACACGATGCCAGCTTATTACTCGTAAGTAATTCATCCTTAAATTATTATAAAAAATTATAAATTTTTATAAATTATTATAATTTATTATTATTATAATTTATTATTATATATATTTTATATAATTTTTATAAATTATATAAAAATTATAATTACAATAATAAAAAATTATTTTTAGGAAATATAATTATAATTTATCCTAGTAAATATAATTATAATTTATGTCTCTGTTACAATTTAATATAATAATATTACATAAATTTTAGGGCTTTTGACCCCATCAGTATATTAGCGTCATTGGCATTTTTGGCGTTTTTATTACAATCATTCGCTTCGCTCTACGATCGTTCGAGGTCAATTTTGCCAACAATCATCAGTGGCCGCAGATCGACTATAGATGATTTGTCCGATGATATTCCAGAAATTTCAGGACACGTCTCGCGCGCTTTGCAGGAATACGTGAGTATTTCATGTTACAATATAAAACTATTATAATATAAAATATATATTATATTATATAATTATTATATAATATATAATAAATATTATATAATTATATTATGTAATATATAATTTATTATATAAATAATAAATTAATATAATGTAAAACATAATACGTGCACTTTCAGGAAAATCTCAATGAAGATTTAGAAAGAAAATAATTGACGAAAAAAATAATAACGAGCTTTTGCCATTTACATCCAACTTTATATAGTAATTTTTGTCATTTTCTTACAATTTATACAATTTTTTGCCCTAATAAATAATTTACGTTTCTTTTTTTTTCTTAAAAAATATATATAAGTCGAAATAGAGATTTTGCATATAAAAAGTTCTAACGAGACGTGTATCTAATTTAATTTTTTTATATTAAAGCTCCTGGCTCTTCGTCAATCATGTTAAGATTGTGACGTCAGAGGCGAGAAAACGCAGGCTAAAAATTCTTATAGATACCATTTCGAAATAAAAAGATATTATATTAGTTTTCACCAGGTTTATTTTGAAAGTGGTAAAATCATCTGAAATAATGTTTTATCAAAATATATTTTCATTAAAAAAAATGGCATCTAAGAATTTTCAGCGTATGCTTTCTCGCTTCTGACGTCACAATCTTACATGGTGAGGATCCAAGTCTTAAAAATAATCTAATATAAAATGTAAATTCAAATATAAATTTTTGTAGAAATTTTAGGAAACAATATAACTTTGAAAAATAAGTAAAAATAATAATATATGATATTTATTATTACAAGCTCTATTTCATCTTGGACAAAATCTCTTTCGATCAATCTTGAATAACTTAAAAATATATTATAATTATACATTGTACAGACAAATACATGAGAAAATAATTTACAACTGCATTAATATGAAAATTATCTTTTTAATTTTATTATAACTGTATTATCCTTTTAATTTTATTATATTACTAATTGCATTGTGTAATATATATATATAAAATGTAGTAATGCAATATAATATCATTTTATTATATAATTGACTTCAAACGTAGTCAAGAGATCTATTTAAGAAAAAAATTACGATTAAATTGTTACAATATCCAATGTCACATACATTTTGTATTCAGTTTTACTTATAGATTCTTGTCAAAATTATAACTATTAGCACAATATTTATAAGTCCTATTCTCCCAGCGTTGTCGCATTGGATGCAGGTACCTCAAATTTTTATCTAATATTACCATGGAACTCTAGTAGATGGTAGAGCTGGAGCTGGTCTGTAACAAAATATTTTATTTATTATTATTATATATTATTATATAATTATATATTTATTAAAACAGTTTATTATTTTATTTATATTATTAAAATATGTATAATTATTATGTAATTTTATGTAATTATTTATATACAGGATTTCTCAAAATTACTAGATGTCTTTTTAATTTTAATAGATACTCTGATCAATTTGAAGACGCGATTATATTTGGAATATTTATCTATTTAAGAAACACTGGTTCTGAAAAATATTCGATAAATATGATAAGATCTTATTTACCTTTTTCCAACAGTAGATTTATATGGATGCGTTGCCGTAAGACCTCGCCTCTCTTTATTACGTATCGCCTTAAACATCACTGTTTTTCTTCAGCATTATTTTGTGCAGACAGAGTAGCTGGAGGAGGTGTAAGATTAATTGTATTACTCTTCAGCTTGTTTAGAATGGCAATACTTTTGGCGCTCATTTGAATAGGCTTCTGCTTATTCACGTTCTCCTTATCTATTCGACTATTAATTTGTACAACACTTTTATTATTGTTCGTTAATACTTTCTTCATCTGCTTGGGGGGTCTGTAGCTGGAATTCTCGCTGTTCTTGTCAGATAGCACACGTTTCTTTGCTATCGTCTTCTCACAAGGATTTTCTTGCACAGATTCGTTATTTTCATGACCATTATTATCGTCATTTGAATTAAATACATTGTCATCATTTTCATTCGCAGCAGCAACAAAGGTGGAATTTAAATTATTGGTATCGCACTCCTCATCATTGGTCTTTGATGCTATTGCAATCGTTGATATAGTATTATTCAAAGGATCCATTCCTACTGTACTCAAACAGGTAAATACAGTGGAATTCTCAGCATTACTTATGTCCGAGTCGGACCACTTGATGTTACGGATACCCTCCAGCAGCTTTATCAACTCCTTGAACTCCAGTTGCATCTTATCAGTCACCGTTCCACAGTCTTTCATCATATTGTAATAATTTTGCAACGTATTACTCATCACTTTCATTATAGTATTGATGGATTGCCTCTCGCATTGCTGGAGACTATCGAGCTTCTTCGTGTGCTGCTGCATTATGGGAATCCAGCATTTCTCAATGTCGGAGACCTGCAGAGCCAATTTATTCTGCAAACTCTCCTCAAAGGGCTTGACCTTCAATTGGGAGGAAATCGTCTCCTGTATCTCCGCCTCGACCGAGCACAATTCCTGCCAGGTTGCTTGCATCTGTGCTCTGAGGGAGTCCCTCTGTCGCTGGAAGTAGTGCAGGGACTTGTTGATGCGAGACTTTCCACTGGCGTTTTGCTCTTCCACCGGCTGATCCTCGGCAGCCAGCGTTAAATTGTGCAACCTCTCATCCGCGTCCTTCTTATAGAGCATCCTGCAGGCCAAAATCTTATCAGAGCTCTCCAGAGTCAGCACCCTTTCAATCAGATCCTTCTTCCTCTCGTATAACTTTGTAAGCTTACAATGCGTTTCCAACATTAATTTATTTGGTTTATTTGATGATTGCAACGTTCCGTTCTCGAAAGCAGCTAGTCTCGACTTCAAGGTATCTATTTCCTTCTTCTGTTCCTCTACGATCTTGATGTAACCAGTAATATGGGTCTCGCAGGACACATTCTTTTTAGCGTAGGATTTAATCTTCTTTGCACGATTCGCGTATCTTAAGGTATTATACGTGTCTTCGTAGGTGAGGCCGGAGGGACCGATGTTGGCTATCATAACAGTATGGCAATTCCCACCGAGGGAATCCTTCAGCAGCCTCGTGAGCTTCGAATCTCTATATGGAATATGTTTAATACCATCTGCCAGATTGTTTATACAATTTCCAAGCGCCAACAGGGATTTATTGATGTTAGCACCTTCCTTAAACCTAATACCCTTGCACCCAGTAGCTGAGGCTCTCTCAGAACCAGCCAGATCGATCATAGACAGCTTGACGCGCTGCACTTGACTGTCCAGCTTGTTGATCATCTTGATGTAAACTTGGAAAACCGCGTGGCTTCGACTGCTCTCCTTATTCGCGTCCGTTGGATGCTGTGTACGGTTCTTGTTACCCTCTGCTAAGAGGGATAACAATTCTTCGGCGCTCTGAATAGCAATTGGTTCCAAACCAGCGACCACAACTCCACATCTACCGTCCTCTCTCAGGTGCAACTGGCCAGACTTGTGCAACAAATCTTGGACGTTCTCGTTGTATATTTCCAAGTAGGATACGGCCAAGTGAAATTCGCGATGCTTGCTCTGTTTTTCAATCTCGCAGAAAAGCTCTGCTACGGTGCGGTATGTAATGCCAGGATCCTCCCTGTGCCCCAGCATGGTGTGAGTTTTACCAGCACCGGTAGCACCGTAGGCAAACACAGAGCAATTGTAGCCATCAAGGAGGTTGGTGATCAGGCTTTTGGTGCTGCCTTCGAAGACATCGGTGTTAGTGGACATAAAGTTGAAAATCCTGTCAAAGATGAATTGTAGTTGCTTGTTCTGTTTCTTCAACATGTCTCTGCTCTTCTGTGCCACATTGTGAAAGAAGAAGGGCTCGTCCTGCTCCTTGGGATCGAAGATCAGCATCTTGTCGTCGACTACCTCGACTGCCGTTTTGCTGTTGTTCTGCAACTCGCGTTCATTGGCCGGACGAATTCTCACGATCACTTTGATGGATATCTCGGAGCTGTCCCCAGCTTGCACCATCGTGCTACCACTTGTGCTCGGCTTGGCTGATTCACCAGGCAATATCTGTTTCTCTCCCATTACTTTTGCCTCCCTGCTGCCAAGACAGCTGTCCTTTTTGTTAAAACCATGTTTTTTACACTTGTAGGCTACAAAACATTAATACATTAGTATATTCATATTTAATATTAATATTATATTGATATTATATAAATAGTAAAATTATATAAATTATATAATAATAAAAGATAAGAAAAAATAAAAGTATTTACAAAAACACAATAACAATAAAAAAACAAAAAATATATTAATAAATTATAAATTATAAAAAAAGATAAGAAATAAATAAAAATATTTACAAAAAAACACAGCAATAAAAAATAATACTCGATAAGAACAAAAAAAGTCAATATACAAATTTGATGAAAATTTCTTTATGAGAGAGTTGTCGAATAATGAAAGGAAATGAGGATTAAATGACGTTTACCCAGAATTGTTTATCTCGATCGCCTTCGCCAGGCGTCACATCGTGATGCGATTGACAGGGTATTGTCGTGGCTTGAAAAATGACAGCTTCGTCGATTTCAACAACGATCTCTCTTATGCGACGTTCACTGAGAAGACAAATCAGCTCTGTTCGTGAAGAAGACCAATTTTTCTCCGATTGCGAAAAGAAAATTGCCTAAAACTGACACCGTATCGATGACCAGCACTCACATCAGGCAAAGAAGCCGTTACCGTTATGCTCAGTTTTGAATTTTAAAACTGACGTGACACAACGACAGTCGCGCAAACTGCAAAGCGTCGAAAGAGGACTAGGGAATGTGATTTTTCTAGGGGATTTTCTAAGATTTCAAGCGCAATTTCTATAAAACGCTAAAGGCACCTTTTTATGTATCGCTCATCGCTCGTTTTCGGCGATATAATGACGTCACGTAATCGCTAGCGACATGATTTTGTAGTTGGATTTTTCTAACTACAAGTGATATTAACAAGTGAAAGACTGCACGCAGTCTTCTTCAATATTATAATTACATATAATTAAACATAATTCTTAACAATTATTATTACGTTATTCGGATCGAGTACATACGGTATAGTTCGGATTCGAATACATTGTGTCCTGTCTTAGGGTGCCGTCACATGTGGCGTAAGAAACGTACGCGCGTACTGCTGCGTATTTTGCGTATTCTAGTAATATGCCAGAACTTACGCTATTTAAAAAATGCCCTTTCACACATCACCAGCGTATTTCGTTAAATTTCGCGTAAAGCGTAATAAATCTAACCAATAAAGATTAGAGTTTCTGTTGTAGAACACAACAGAAATACTAAAATCGATTTTCTATTGGTTATTATTATTTAGACGTATTGCTAAAAACGCGCCATGTAAATTAGGTACCTGAGGGTAGATTGTGTATCTTGAGTGAATTGCTCACGAGGTGAAAATTACAAAAGTGAGGAAATTTACTAGAGTGCCCACGGTTTCATTTGTCGATATCTAGTAAATCTTTTCACTTTTGTAATTTTCATTTCGTGAGCAAACTCACCCAAGATACACAATCGACCTCTTGTTGTAGATCTGGCCTAAGGGTACATTGCAGCATGCGGTTCTATATCCTGATTAGATGAATATGATTGAACGCTTTTTGAAAGATCATTATATACTTCTCAATGTAATGCGTCGACGCGCTATTGACTAGAGCCTTAGTACTGCGCATGCGCACTATAATTATAAAATTATTTATTGCAAATAATAAAGAAATTATTAACTCACAAACAATTATATTGATATATTTGTAAATCACAAACGATTTCCTATCAATTATAATTGTTAGTTATTACAAAATCTGTTTATTACTAAAAAAGTGTCGGCTAACTTCACGATTAAAAAAAAATTATTAATTACAAAAAACCTAATTTGTCACAAACGTTAAAAACAGACTCACAATCAATCACAAACGACTTACAAACGAAATATATTCATAAAAAATGAAAATAATTATATTTCATAATTTTTGTCGGCTAGCTTCATGTAGGTAAAGTGTGTGCTCCCCGCTTTAAACAGTAAGCAGCACGAAATGGGATTCGCTCATTTCGTCGGGACGGAATGAACAAATCCCATTTCGTACTGCTTACTGCTTACTCTTGTACTCTGTACTCCTGCTGCCATTGTAGACTCCGCTTATTCTTTGCCTTAAGGGTCGACAGCATCGATATATAGAATGGACTGAGCATTGCGATATGTAAACGCGCGCCTGCTTTAGAGTGAGAGGTACTACATCTGAGGCCTATGTTTGTCTCTCTTGCAAGCTTCTGATTTGTTATTTCGTCCCCCTCCAGAATTCTAGCAGTAACATAGCATTAAATTTTTGACACCTCACCTTCGCCTACTCGCTTTGGAATAACGTGAAACGTTTATCTTTATCTTTAAAAATTAAAAATGGTTTTAAGGTGTTTTGTGTGCAAAATTACGTATGATAAAAATAAAAAGGATATACAGATGCATAAGTAAGTACATTAAAAGTATTTTTTATAGGACATTATTGTAACACATTCTTTAAACATATTGTTTTAAAGCTGTATATAATTATATTATATATACGTAACTTGCATAGTTTTGTTAAATATATATTAAAATTATATATTATATAATAAAATTAAGATATGTAATAGTATGTAATAAAAATTGTGTAAAGTAAAATTATAAAAAGTTAGGTTAGATTATGCGTTTTACAAATAAGAGATATTTAGAACATTATTTTAAATATTTTGTAATATAATAATAATTGAATTATACAATATAAAGCTAGTAATACATTATCATTATTTTCAGAGTTCCAGAAAAAGAACACATAAAGAAATTGTGGTTATCTGCATTAAACATCAAGCAGATTAGTCCAAATGCAAGAGAGTGTTCAAAACATTTTAATATATATATATATATATATATATATATATATATTTATAAAACTTTATAATTAATAAAATATTAATATAAATATAATATAAATTAAAGCAAATTTATTGTTTATTTATAAATATATTAAATATATTAAAACAAATTTTAAACTAAATCTAAAAAAATCTATTGACTACACATTTCATAGAAAAATGCACATGGTCCGCAATTTTTTTAGACGGCCCTGCAAAAAGAGAGACAAACATAGGCCTCAGATGTAGTACTTCTCACTCTAAAGCAGGCGCGCGCTTACCCATTGCGATGCTCAGTCCATTCTATATGTCGATGGTCGACAGGCGACATGGTAGAGACGCCTATCGGCCGGCCGGGAATTAGAGATTCTTATATTTCAGATATTAGCGAAACTACTGAATGAATCTTATTAAATTTATGATATTCTTAATCAGTAAGCTCAAATGCAGTCCGCCAAAGAGTTATTTATTGAAAAAAAGATGAAAATAAAATTTATAATATAACTTGGGGGAATGCGCAGCTAGTAACGGGTAAGGTTGGGTTAGCCAGGAGTCCGTATTTTATTTATTATAAATTTTTCAGAGCAAAAATGCAAAATCCGACTCTTTGGCGGACTACTTTATTATATCAAGAATATATTAAAAAAAAAAAACAAAGTTATGTCACTTATTTTATGAAATATCTGGACGATAAGATTCTCACTAGATTCATAAGGAGCAGGGGAAATTTCTGTGGTAACATGCTGACTGCTTGACAAGGAGAGAGCATCATTCCATCTTTGTCTCTCTTACATCGCATATGTAGTAGCGTCCATGTAGGTACAAACACTAATACGTGAGCACACGGATGCAAATATTGAGAGATAATGTCAGCAAAAAGGCTATCATATTATTTTTATTTTTTTGTATATGTATGCATATGTAAATAAAGAACAAAAATAAAAACTATTTTAAATAATAAGAATCTATTTGTGTGTGTGTGTGTGTAATTAAAAATTAATAAAAAAATTAAAAAATCAATTTATATACCATATATTTTTTTATATCATATAAAAAAATCTTAGAAATGTACTTAAATTTTTCGTAGATCCTCGATTTTCGATCCTTTTTTTCATTGCTTCTAAACATTCAGCTAAAAGAGCAGTTGAGACTATTCCAATAAAAAATATTTCATCTTATTTTTTGCAAATAATATAATATATTTTTTATTTAGGAGTCCAAATAAATATATGTTACGCATAAGTTATTTATAATTTTCGTTCAAATTAAGAGAATATTGTATTGAATATATTGTAATGCATATACATATTAATTTTCATTAATTTACTTGTTTAACAAAAACATGGTTTTTTGATAATAATTTAAAATTATTTCTGCTCAGTGATTTTTAAATAGCCGCAGTATATTGACGGTGCAAAGGTAGCATAATCAATTGTTTTTTAAATGAAAACTGGAATGAAGGAATTGATTAAAGCTGTTTTAACTTGTAGATTTAAAATTTAAATTTTAAGTTAAAATTCTTAAAAGAAATTATGGGACGAGACGACCCTATTAAATTTAATATAATTTTTTTATTTAAGGAAATAAATTTTATTTTAATGATTATATTTTATTGGGAGGATAATTAAATAAAATGAACTTTAATTTAAAGATAATTTTAACATTAATTAATGAAATTTTTATAAAGGATTGATTATTAAATTAAGAAAATTTTTTTTTTTATAATAATTATAAAAATTAATTACCTTAGGGATAACAGCGTAAGATTTTTAGAAAGATCATATTAATAAAAATGATTGCGACCTCGATGTTGAATTAAAATAAAAATTAAATAAAGAAGTTTAATATTTTAGTCTGTTCGACTAATAAAATTTTACATGATTTGAGTTCAGATCGGTGTAAGCCAGATCGGTTTCTATCTATAATAAAATTAAGAAAATTTTGTACAAAAGGACTTTTTTTTAAATTATATTTTTTTTAATGAATAAATTTAATTGATCAAATATATGTAAATAAATAAAATTACTTTGGCAAAATTTAAGTGTATTAAATTTAGAATTTTAATGATGTATAATAGAAAAAAGTTATACAAGTAATAATTTGTCAAAATTTAAGATTATATTTTTATAGTGCGTTAAATATATTAAGATTGTTAATTTTGTTATTAATTATATTAGTTGGGGTAGCTTTTTTAACTTTATTGGAACGAAAAATTTTAAGATATGTACAAATTCGTAAAGAACCTAATAAGGTGGGATTTATAGGATTATTTCAACCTTTAAGTGATGCTATTAAATTACTTAATAAAGAATTATTTTATGTATATAAATCTAATTATAATTTTTTTTATTTATGTCCTATAATTAGATTTGTTTTAATAATAATATGATTGGTATTTCCTTACATTACTAATATTTATTTTTTAAATTATTCTATTTTATTAATAATTGTTTTTATAACTAATAGAGGGTATGTTATAATTTTTATGGGATGATCAGCTAATTCGATTTATTCAATAATAGGGGCAATACGATCAGTTTCACAAATATTATCATATGAAGTAAGATTTATTTAATTATTTTAGTAATATTATTTATTTAGTAATATAAATTATGTTATTATATAGTAAGAGAGAGATATTCTTTTTTTGATTTTATTAATTATCAATTTTATTTATAATATATAGTAGTTTTATATCCTTTGTTTATTATAGTTTTTATTAGGATTTTAGCTGAATTAAATCGAAGTCCTATAGATTTTATCGAAAGTGAGTCAGATGATTTAATATTGAATATTTTAGGGGTGGGTTTACATTAATTTTTTA